CATACAAATATTATCTGATAATATGAAATGTGATGTGTGAAAGTTATAAGTAGGAATTAATCCTATTAAGTTAAAAATCGTCTTCCTTTTAAGATACAGTTTTATTATATTTGTCTAACATTTCTTTATTTTTTCTTAACTATTTTCCTTCACAATTAAATCTATAATCAAATTTTAAGAAACATCTGTGAGTTAATGAAACAACTATCCACCTTTGCAATCTTTTTAATATCCCATCTCCACACCTTCGTAAATAGGGGCTGTTATACAACAGAATATTAAATAATTGTTTAATACTCCATAGAAAGATGGCAATACACCAACTTCAGACCTATTGATGTTTGGTCACTAGTTGACATAAAAGTTCAAAATTAGGGTGAAAATAGATATATTGAAAGAGTCAACTCATCCTAAAAGAAAGTATAAGATTTTTCCACTCCAGACTTCACAGATTTTAAGGACTGAATGTGCTTGCCAATTTATCATCTTGATAACTGAGGGTCATGTTCTGCTTTTATAAATAAAGTCTGGTCAAAATACAGATACATTATTCAGTCAAGTGTTATCTACAGCTGTTCTTATGCTACAATGGTAGAGAGCCATGTAGTAGAGACACAGACAAGCTGTCTTGTAATGACAAAAGAATTTATTCTATCCCTTTAAGAACAATTTTTCTTGACTGCTGATGTAAGGCATGACTGAATTCATAAAGTATTTACTGATATTTTTTCTTTTCTGCAGCGCTGAGGTTTAAACTCAGGGCTTTGTGCATGCTAGGCAAACACTACCACTGAGCCCGTGACTTTTCTTTTTTTTTTAAGTTTATCTCTGGGTCTGTCTATCTATCTGTCTATTTCCCCAGAGATACCATAAAGTACAAAAAGTGAAGAGACTTAGTGGTGGTTACATATGTTACTCATTGGCTTATTAGTCTTCACTGAAAGTGTGATGATACAATTTAGTTAATATTTACTTTAAATGTTCAGAAGAAAATAGTTAAACAGACAGGCTCCTTAGCAATATAAATGGTCACGATGTAAAGTTATTCAGGAAACTTCTTTTTTCTGAAGAAAACATGCAGGGTGTTTTGTTTGATAATTCTCCCAGAGACCTTTCCTGAGCATGTAGATGAAGCGTTTTGCACTCTTTGTAGGAATGCAAGAAAATGGCACCGTGGCACGTATCTTTTTCATCAAAGTCCATAAGAGAGTCTGTCTAACTGTAAGGTTGAATGGAGGGCAAAGAAAGCATGTAAAACCCTTTCTGGATTTTGAATAAAAGTAATGGAGTTGTTACATAGAAAAGTTTTTCAAAATACAGTCTTACTCAGTCTGGAGATTCCACTTCACCAAGAAAAATGTTTTAACCACTTATAAAGGACTTACAGTTACATTCTTAATTTAATTATGCTATGCTATATACTATGCTATTTACTTATGCTATGTTATATACTAATTTTAGATCATAATATAATTTTATATTAGATTAGATTATAATATATTATAAATAGATCTCTTCATTTAAATGATTTTCTCATTTGGATAACATATATCTTCAAGTAGGTTTTCCAAGAAAGTTTTTGTGGGTGACATTTTCTGAGTTCCTGAATATATAAATATCATTTTCATCACCTTCATTAATTAAAAAAAATCACAACTTGGCTCTAAATAATAGCAGGGGATTTACAGACTTTTTCTCTTCAAAATCATCATATGTTTTTCCATTGTCTCCTGCCATTTAATTCTGCAGAGAAGTATAAAGGTAGCCTCCTATTAGCACATGAAAAATGAAAAAACAAAACTGTAGAGTCAGCTACTCTTCTGTGGTTTTCTTGCTTTTAAGCACACTATTTGTTCCTAAGAATATTTAAAATTATTTACCAGTTTCTAGCTCTTTGCCCTAAACACCTAACATCTCTGTCATCCTTTTGCACATTTCCACCTTTGCTTAGCATTTAGGAAGAGCTTATCATATTTGTCTTCCACATTACTGATATGATTGCTCAGTATCAAATCTTTTCTGCTGGCTCATGTGTTTAATTTGGCTGCTGCACTTTAAAATTTCATTATTTCTCCATTATCATTTTCTTTGTCCTTTTCCCTTTAGCTGGTTCTTTTCTTCTGGATTGCTGATTCTGTTTGACAAGAGTCCTGTCTTACATTCTACTCAGATGAGTAGTCACCTTGTCTATGATTTTTTCATATTTCCCTTTTGAGTTTTTGGTAGGAGTTTTTCTCTCCTTTTCTTTATAATGTTTTAAAAGTTCATTGTTGAAATTTTAAAACATTGCAAAGAGAGATTTATAGAAAAGGTATTAGAGAGAGTAAAAGTTATATAGAACAGGGTGGTCATCACAATCCCTAGGAAGTTTTTAGACTCTATCAGGTTTTTATACAATTTGGTTTAAAAGATTGAATACAATTTTCTTCTCTAAACAACTCCAGTTCTTAGCTCTGTATCTGACAAGGGACTTCATATTTGGAGACACTGCTCCTTTGTCTCCACCCAAAGTGCCACCAACCTTTTTAAGTGTTAGTGAAAATTTGCTAAGAATCCATATGAATAAAAAGAGATAGATAAGAGCACAGGGAAGGTGGGCAACACTTGTGTATTTAAAGAAAAAAAGATACAGCAAAAGAGAGGGCCCTGCCGGCAAACTGCCATACTCAGTAATCTCTTTATTCCTTACTCATTATGTCTCCAGAGGATATTCTATTAGTGACTGGACAGAGATAGAGCAATATTGGTGGGAGTGGAATAGAGGTCGGGGTTGGAGATAGCACTGTGTCAGACTCGAAAGTTCTAGACATACTGCAGAAGCACAGCTGAAAAGTCTTTGGGACATTTCTTAACTAACGATAAAGGACAAATTGAGACAGAAATATGGGTTTTTTTCCTTACTTTATCTCTAATTCACTAGTTTATTGTATTTTTAAAAATTGAACAGCAAGAATGGCCAGATTTTCAATCAAAAAAATGTTAGCTTAAAAATTAGATATGTTAAATATAGCAGATAGTATAATAATATATTATTATGTTAATAAATTTTAGTGCCTTGTGAAGTGCCATAATTTTCCATTGTCTGTGTCTTCATGGATATTTTGTGGGAATCTGGGACTGGCTAAGTTAGATGCACCTATTCAGATTCCATTTATAGGTAAAGGTTTAGTCCTAACTTTTTAAATTTATATCTGCTTTATCTAGCAACTCCCTGTCTGTGTTTCTCAAATTATGCTAGGTCCTTCCTGGAACTTTCAACTTATACTTTTCTGCTGACCCATTCCTTGCCCCATAGCCCTTTTGAGAACCAGCTTCTCTCTCCAACTCTGAGAAATGGTGATTCTCATAACTCTAGTAAGAGTGGTTTTTGATGTCCAATGGTCTAGAACACGTCCATGTTTTGGGGGATGACTCTTCAACTCTGTGACCCTCTCCTCTTACATAGAGGCTGCTTACCCATCTTGAGAATTTGATGTGATCATCATTTCCTCACAGTACCACCTTCAGGAGGGGAAGATATTAAAATCCATTTCAGAATAATCTTGCCTTACATTAATTTATTCTTGCAGCTGGCTCTTGTGTGGATTCCTGGACATAGCACAGCTTCTCTCGGCCTGAGTCCACTTCACTGTCTGATTTCTGTGGGCCAAATTTTCTCACTCTGCTACCTTAAATATCCAACTCCATGTCTCCCTTTCAATCTTTATTGATCCAAACCAGTTTCTTATAATGCAATGCTCTGCCTAATTTTTTTCCCCAAAACTTAGTTTGTTTCCTTTTCTTGCTTTGATATAGTGTATTTGTGCAGTTATTCCTATCCTAATTTCATCAATACCTTGTAGGTTTGATTTGTCCTGTCCACAGTGCTCTTGATGACATGGGCCAATTTGGAATCCCTGGGGACTTTCAAGTCTACTTTATAGTTTACTATTAAAATAGTACTATGTGTGCCACTGTAAGCAAAATGTAGAAATCTAAATGTGTGTCATTTCACTCTCTGCTATAGAGTTCTGCAATTACAGAATGCTAACTATGAAAAAATCACAAATTATTTGAGATTTAGGGCCTTGAAGGTGTTTTGTATAATACAGTGTTTTAACATTTTAAAACATTACAGGTTTGTTTAAATGGCAGAGAAACAAATTATTTAATTAGTTATGGTTCAGAGATATTCTTATCAAGTAATAAGCTCTCAAATCCTTCTGCATTATTAGAGCAACTGATTTAATTTTGTTGAACAACAATACTGTCAATTAGCATAACATATTTTATCAGTTAGCTTAAATCATTTTTAGAACAACAAATATTTGAAAGCCTTGCTACAAATGAGTAGTCTGAAGGTGAGCACTACTCCTCTCTAATTCAAATAGGCTAAAGAAACAGTAATCATAAGCACAAATGGTAAAGACACAAGAATTAGTACCGGACAAAGCTCAAGTTATTGGCTCAGTTCCAAGCTGTCCACAAGAAATACATCTTAAGCCACAAAAGAGAATCACCTATATAATTTGAAAGTTTCTATTAGCCATACTAAAATTAAAACTTAAAAAGGTAGTTAACATTAACTTCAGTACTGTATTTTATTTAACCCCAATATCTTTGCAATGTTAACATTTCATTATTAAATCATGTGTGCAAATGTGCACTAAGATTCTGTGTATATTATACAGTTACAGAACACCTTAATTTACACTAGTCTTATTTCCACCAATCAATAGCCACATTGGGCTAGTTACTACCACAGGGAAAGTGGATGTCTCGATTTTAATGTTAACATCAAACCTGATGAAAATGTTTTCTGAGAAAAGTAGGTAACTAGTAAGTACGTGAAATAAGGTCTATGTTAACACCCAATATAGATCTTCCACAATATGACTATTTCAGAACATGTGTGCATGATAAATGTATGCAATATATAAATTTGTTCACTAAAAATAACAAAAGGAATGACATGAAGAAATAAATAATGTGAGAGACAATGATGAATTATTTCCTCTTACCTGCACAAATCTTCTTTTATGTGAAGGGAAATCAATTCCTTAGGAATATGGAAAGAAAGTATGCTTTCCGACATCTGCTCCCGGACCTGCATCCACTTGTTGTCAGCCGTGGGAAATCTATATAATTTATACACTGGATTCTTTAACACTGGGAAGAAAGAAAAAGTAAACAGGCTATTGTTAAATCATAAACAAATACACACTGTCAGGTGAAGCTTAGTTAACAAAGCCATTAAACATCAAATTATTTATTTGATGAAAAATTTACTTTTTATCAGAATCTATTAGCGTATTAAAATTCCTGAAAATTTTATTTTAACATTTTTTTCGGTAGCTTTTAGAGCTTGCAGTTTTTGTTAAGCTTAAGAAAGTATACAATGAACTGTAATTCACAAATGTAGCTAGTGTTGTCTTTAACTTCCTACCTATTGATTGCTGAAATTCTTAAATTAAATAAAACATATGTACCACAAATGTAAAACATGTAAAAATGCGGTACATGTTTTATTAAAGTGAAAGAAAAAGAAATATAGATGAAAGTATAAGCATATATACATCATGCACACTTTTAATTATACTTATGAATTTCTTGTCATCACTCTCGGTCAACTTTACCTACCTGTATAATAGGTAACAGTGAATATATTATTACAGAAGTTTCTTATGTGTTACAAACATTCATTCTTTGGCTTAAGATCTATTAAAATTTAAATGTTGTTCATATCGTCAATGAATCAATAACATACTTTCCTGAAGCTACATCTTATCAGAAGCAAGTCAGGGAGATTGTGAAGAAAATCTATTTAAGGTATGGGTGTGGTAATTAGATGAGGGTAACAAGCTCATGTAATCCAAGATTTTTGAAGATTCAAGAAGTGAGTGTAGGGTCAGATATTAAGGTAATTTTGACAGATTCTCAGGAAGCAGAGACTGGGTGGGTCATGGTACCAGGCCTGTTGGGGGGAAAAGTTAGCAAAAAAGACCCTAAGAATGGTAGGCAGTAAGATCGTGGCCTAAGTCCAACTCAGGAAAACAGAATGAGAAAATAACCTGAAAATATCTGAAAAATAACCTGAAAGTCAAAAAGTACTGGAGGCATGACTCAAATTGTAGAGCTCTTGCCTAGGAAGCACAAGGCCCTGAGTCCAAACTCCAGTACCACCATCAAAACAAAAACAAATAAACAAAAACTCTTCAGGCTTCTTCCTGTAGCCAGCACTCATACCACACTTCCAAGTCATGTACCTCAGGGCAAATGATTCCATTGCTGTTGGGCAATGAATGTTTTGGTCAAACTTATGCATCAAAGCTTAATGGGCAAGTCAAGGGTTTATTGTTAGTTTGTTCCAGTTTGCCAGTAAAACTGGTTAAAAATAACAGTTAATGTTGAAGTCGATATAAGGGTTAAATAATACTGAGGTGGGCACATAAGCCAAGTCACCCAAATATACAGGGAAAAACACCTTTCAAAATTTTAGGGTTCTGTAAGATAGCCATATCTTATTTACTATTTGGTAAACATAATATAACTTTCTGAACATTAAAATGACAATGTATTCATCCACTCTTCTGTAACCATCTATACCCTAGGGTAAACTCTGAACATTATTATTATCAAAATTGGTTTCAAACATCTCAGAAAACTTGATTCTTTGTTTTAATTGTTGTGCTAGTGGGGGTACATTGTGACATTTACAAAAGTTCCTACAATATATCAAATATATCATACTTGAATTCACCCCCTCCACCATTCTCCTCCCTTTTCTCCTCCCATTCCTGGAAGAGACTCAGCAGGTCTCATTTTTCCATTTACATACATGTGTACACAGTATTTGTACCATATTCACCCTCCCACACCCTTTCCCCACCGTTTCACCCCTTCCGGTGGTACCAATCCCCCCCTCCCAGGCAGGATTACAGCCCAAATTGGTTCATCTTCTCTATTTTTCTTCTTTCTACCTTGGTTCTTTTCTTATGGTGGTTTCAATAGATTTTAAAATTCTACATCCATTCTTGTATAAAGAGTACATCATTCTTTAACCACTAGATTTAGATCATCTAGAATGTTTACATACTCCTATCAATAATTAGAGGGATTACTAGAACCAACAGAAGGCTTAATAGAAGGTAAAATATTTTTAGTATGTTGAGAGAAAACATTTTAAAATCTAGAACTGTATGCCCAAAGAGATTATCTTTTGAATATATTCATGATCTTTTAAAATTTATCAATTAGATTACACCACAAATGTATGTAAGAGTTCATTATATTTATCACTTTCTTTTGAAAGAAATGTAAGAGCTTATAGCCAGCCAATGAAAGAAACTATGATTTCATTCATTTTTAAAGTGACAATGTTTCAAAGATATAAGAAATTTATTACTACTTTTATTAGCATATCTCTAGAGTTAGACAAGAAAGAATGTATTGAATTCAATATCATACAGAATGAGACTTCATGAATTCCAATGCATACAACATAGTTAAGAATGTGAATGAATCTGTTTTATTTTTATCATTATAGGAACAAGGAAAAAGGCTAATTTGGAAAACTAGCAGAGCAAAGAGCATGTGAAACTGTTGGAAACAAATAACATCTTAAGGAACTGACATGAGTGAGAACTGGGTTTACAGGAAGGGAATGAACAGTCAGGGAACTGATGACTGAGGCCTTCTATGGGAGGCACCAGTGATCTGGAATGGGATGTAGTTTAAGCACCATCTAGAGTTGTGGAGTCAGATCTGTGAAGGGCTTTCCACTTTAAATGACATTAACAGAGCTACTTTGGCATCTGATGGAGTCACTAATAATCACACCAAGAAAAAGCAGACCTGCTCCACCAATCCCTGCCCAGGACCCAGGGATGCTGTCACAGATAAATGCATCCTTTTATGGTAAGACAAAGCCTCAATCCTGGAATGTCCAAATTATTCCGTAATAACATTTGCAAGTATTCAGTTACTTGGCATACCTACACTCACTAGATTGCTATGCATTAACTCTTTTTCACAATTACAAATCTCTCAAATGGATAAGAAGAATCCTTGGATTTTGTTCACCTTTTATAGATCAATAATTAATTTTTTAGAAAATTTATATTTCAAATCATGTCAGAAAATATAAAATTATTTTCTCTATTGAAGCCCAAACAAGTCCTTCAGTTTTTCATGTCTTTTGTTTCATTTTAATCCTCATTCTGTGTTCTAAGTATAGACGTTTATTGAAAAGCTTAAGCAGAAATCAAGGGCAGTCTGATTAATAAGCTCTAGAACTCTCCTCTGACCACTAGATACACATCATCCAAAGACACTATGGGAATGAATGCTGCTGTTTTTGAAGTAAAAATATAAAAAACTGACAAATTAATCACCTAAAAAAATTCCCATTAATGTTTCTCACCTTTCACCTTATGGGTTCTGATCTTTTGTGATTCATAGGTCTCTAATATTAGTAATAAATTATGTATATTTATCAATGTCTGAATGCAGTTATGATGTTATAGCTTGCATCTGAAATGTCCCCCAAAGATTTATGTTCCAAGCGCTTAGTCCCAGCCTGTGGCACTGTTGAGAGATGGCAGAACCTTTAGGAGAGGTGGGGCTTAGTGGAAGGTTATTAAAGATGTGCCACTAAAGGAGATCTCTCTCTCTCTCTCTCTCTCTCTCTCTCCCTCATTCTCTCTCTCCTTCCTGGCCTCCATGAGTTGAGTCCCTTTGCACTCAACACCATTCGATTCCTGCCATGATGTTCTGTCTTACCAAACAATGGAGCCTAACTGACCATGAACTGAAGCCTTTGAAGTAATGACCAAAAAATAAACCTCTTCTCCTTTAAGATGACTTTCTCTTATTTTGTCACAGAGATGAAAAGCCGACTAACACATAGTGGAACCCACTTAGCAACTTAATTTGACCCAGTGGCATCCTTTATTGAATATCTACTTTGTCTGAGGTAGGGCACCTACTATGTAACATAAAATACTCTAAAAAGGTGGATGATCTTTTAAAAATGCGATCTGACTGCTAATAACCATGCAAATTTGTTGCACTGCTTACAAGAATACCAGATAAGGTGATCTCAACTCAAAATTCTTGCTGTGCTGATGGGGGGAAATGTTTATTCATTGTCACATTAAAGAAAGGTGTGGTATTCATGCATCAAATATTGAAGAAGGGGCCACAAGTGACGAATCTTACCAACTTGTCTTAATGTTTCTACTTTATAGCAGAGATACACTTTCAACAATTCCGCACACACACTCCTGTTGTGGAAATGAGCACATGACCACGTGAATAACTTTCAGCCCCGACTCTCCACTGTGCCAAGAATTTATGCTTTTCTGACCACAAAACAGGCCTATCCACTCAGCAATAACTATGTAACGTGACTTTTGTCAATACAGCCTTGTGTGTATTCTCTTCTCCATCCTTACAATACTTTTGCCAAAACATTTGCCAAAAAAATCACGTGACAGATTCCACCAAGAGGTATTTTGAGTCCTTAAGGCATTTTGGACCACTCCATGGTCTTGTGATAAGTTAATGACAGTAAAGTTCTAAGCTGGTCCAGATCTTGATTGACACATTTCTCCCGAGGGCTATCTCTTGAGATGAACACAGAACAGAAAGTAAATGACAGAATTATGTTCCTCCAAAATGGCAGCCTTACTCAAATGTCTATCACTTCTCCCAGACTCTGTAACAGTAATGTTTATCAAGGTAGCATGCCACCTGCTTTTCCAAGGGATTCAGCAAATGTGAAATCCAAACTGCAGTGATTCTGAATAATTCAATGCAAACAAAGATGCCAAGAAAATGTTCAACAAACCAACACAGTAACACATAGAAAGAATGTGGCTCAAGCAACCCCAGGCAGAAAAGATAAACCAGAGATATCACAGGGATGTTTTTCTCTTTTCTGATTCTGTAAATAAAAGAGTGCAAGGGAAATCAGTGGGTTGATTACACACTGAACTTTGGAAATAAGACTCAGAGTTCAAGGGATCATCAAACGGTATTTCATCAGGCTCTTTTACACACTTCTTCACAGGAAGTTCATCTGTGGTTATCCTTACACACTTCCTTGCTTTCAGGACATAGTAGAAGTTACATATTTAAGAGGAATCTGACTTTCTTGGCTTTAGGCC